TGTTCTGAAATGAAGAGCTGAAAGAGCAAAAGTAATCTGTCCCCTGGAGATCAAATTTAAAACCTTTTAACACTCAGAGATCACATTGCCTGTGTGCTGACCAGAGGCTGCTGGCCAGGCAGCTGGGGCAGAGATATCAAGAATGGGGATTTGAACCTCAGCTCTGCCACTGTGAGTTCTGTGACAGAGGGTGAGTTGTTAGCTAGATGTAGTCAAGATTTTCCAGAATAGATTTTCTTTTCAAAATTAGTAGAAACTGGGGACTTCCCTGGTGGTCCAGCAGTTAAAACTCTGTCTAGAAATGCAGGGTACACGGGTTCAAGCCCTGGTCCAGGAACTAAGATCCCACATGCCTTGGGGCAACTAAATTCGTTCATTGCAACTACTGAATGCAATAGCTGTGAATCCTGAGAGTCGCAACTAGAGAGCCCGTGTGCCACAATGAAAGATCCTGTGTGCTATAGCTAAGACCCAATGCAGCCAAATAAACACATAATTGGTAGATATTGTAACTAAGGCAGGCAGACAAAAGCAGATCTTTCCCAAATAGTGAGTTTGTATTTGTGTGGAAGTAGGGGGTAAGAGACAGAGATGAGACAGAAAATAAAAGACAAAATATGTACTGCATGTGAATTAGGTAAAACTTCAGGGAGGAGAGAGAGTAGTGACTTGGCAGAAAACAGAAGAAAATGCATTCTGGGAAAGAGAGGAAAGTTCCAGTAGTTGATTCTGAAAGGAACTCCAGAAGCTCTTGAGCTTGTCTCTAGCCTCTCCCAAGCCAGCCTGGGCCTCACACAGACCTAGATCTGAGCTGATTTGTAAGGCAGCTGCCTGCCATTGGCTCGCGACAGGGGAACATGCCTCTAATTCATTTTCTCAGAGCTTATAGTTGTTTGGTCGCTAAGTTGTGGCTGACTCTTTGCAACCCTGGGGACTGCAGCACACCAGGCTTCCCTGCCCTTCACTATCTCCTGGAGTTTGCTCAGATTCATGTCCATTGAGTCAGTGATGCTATCTCACCATCTCACCCTCTGCTGCCCTCTTCTCCTGTTGCCTTCAATCTTTCTCAGCATCAGGGTCTTCTCAGAGCAAAGGAGTCTCTATTCCATTGCATTTTCCTTTGTGTCAGGCTTGTTCTGGACAGATGTTCAGGATCCTCCAAACTAAGCTTTTTTTTTTTTTTTAATAGCAGGCACATCACAAACTCTCAGCGTGGCTTCTGCATGCAGCTGTAGCTTATGTTTCTTGCATATTTACAAGTGTCGAGCCAGTGAACCAGTGAACCAGTGAAGTTGCTCAGTCGTGTCCAACTCTTTGCGATCCCATGGACTGTAGCCTACCAGTCTCCTCCATCCATGGAATTTTCCAGGCAACAGTACTGGAGTGGGTTGCCATTTCCTTCTTCAGGGAATCTTCCTGACCTAGGGATTGAACCTAGATCTCCCACATTGCAGGCAGATGCTTTACCGTCTGAGCTACCAGGGAAGCCCTACAAGTGTCAAAGGTACACCTAAAAAGACACTTCTTTCTTAGCACCCTATTTTTAGTAGTTTGGATTCAGGGCGGGCACTGAGATATCCTCAATAGTGCCACATTTAAATAAAAATAGGAAAAACATAAAGTCTAAGACTCCATATCCCTTTGGGAGTGAAGAAGAATATCAGCTGGAAACAGTGAACCAGTCAAAATGCTTATCTTAGGGGAAATATTCACATTAATCATTTCCGGTATGAAAAGAGACATAAATTCTCATCCAAGAAGCTTTAGAGCATATGAATTTTGCCAAAGCTGCTTTAATAAAAATATGATTTTGAATTTTGCATAATCAACCTCTGTGAGAATGATCACATTTAAAGTGTAATCTTGGGTTCCCTGATGGTCCAATGGAAAAGAATCTGACTGTTAATGCAGGAGACCTGGGTTCAATCCCTGATCTGGGAAGATCCCACATGCTGCGGAGCAACTAAGCTCACGTGTCACAACTACTGAGCCTGTGCTCTAGAGTCTGCGAGCCGCAACTGCTGAGCCCATGTGCTGCAACTACTGAAACCCAAGAGCCCTAGGGCCTGTTCTCCACAACAAAAAAAGCCACCACGATAAGAAGCCAGCACCCTGCAACTGAAAAGTAGCCCTCACTCTCCATAATTAGAGAAAAGACTGCACAGCATCAGAGACCCATAAATGAATAAATGTTTACAATTAAATAAACAAATTGAAATCTTATGTATACCATCAACTTGTTTGAAAGGTTTCAATGACATTGCAAACCTTAATGATTATTGCAGATTCTAAATTGTGAAGTTCAAATTAATATAATTTCATATTTGCAACAAAGTGGTCATTGTTTCTGAGTAGCAGATAATTTAAAATAAATACCTGATGCATTATACATGATCAAAATGCCACATTTTTTCTTAAGGTTCTGTGTATGGTCTGTGGAAAGGGTGAAGGCCTGTTGGTTATGGGGCAAAACAAAAGCCACCTTGAAATCTGAGTTAGAGTGCCTGGATATAAACACTGTCTCTGTCACTTTCCAGCCTTGATACTTTGACAAGTCAGTGAACCTTCTGAATGTCAGTAACCCTATCTGCAAGATGCAGGTTTGAGGATGAAGATTAGAGAATATATATAAAATAGCACAGATCTTAACATCTGTTAGGTACCTGAAAGATGGTCTTTATTATCAGTGTAGTTCAAGTGGTTTTAGAATCTTTTCACAAAATTTCCGTTCAGAAGGTGGAATCTGATTCTCCTCCCTCTCGATGTGGGCTTGACTTAGTGACTCACTTCTCAGGAATAGAAGGCAACAAGTGGATGTTGTGTGACCTTCAAGACTACATTCCAAAGAAGATACAGTGTTTGCAGTCAGCTACCATGTAGTGAGGATGCTCAAGCATTGAACTGATGAAATAGAAAATTTGTTTATTCATTTTCTCTCTTTGCAGGGAACATACACTCTATGAGAGTAGGGATCTCCTACTTGGTCCTGCTCCCCTCCAGTCTTTCTCCATATTGGAGTCAAAGTCAAACCTTAAAATTGTTGATCTAATCATATGACTTTCCTACTTAAAATGATGAATTGACCCCTCCTTCCTTGTAGGACAGACTCCACAATTCCTACATGACTGACATGCCTTCATGTCTGGCTTTCGCCCACATACCCATCCAGATCCAAGCTGCCTTCTGGTTGGCTCACTTCCTGGCAGCAGGCACCTTCTTTTGGATCTCAGACCACAGATTCCCAGCCTCATAGGCACCACCTTGCTGGCACTTTACCTGATGTACCTCCTCTCCCTTCCCCCTGGCGAATTCTTGTCAATTACTCATCCTCAACTGTCACATGCTCTGCCAAGTGCCCCTTCCCCTCCCAACAAACTGATTTAGCTTTCTCCATCATCATACTTTATACCAGGGACTATTTATGGCAATTATTATTTTGTCAACAGTTTATTTAATGCATCTATATTGAACCCCTACTAAGTACCAGAAAAACATCTATTTCTGCTTTATTGACTATGCCAAAGCCTTTGACTGTGTGGATCACAACAAACTGTGGAAAATTCTTCAAGAGATGGGAATACCAGACCACCTGACCTGCCTCCTGAGAAATCTGTGTGTAGGTCAAGAAGCAACAGTTAGAACTGGACATGGAACAACAGACTGGTTCCAAATCAGGAAAGGAGTACATCAAGGCTATATATTGTCACCCTGCTTATTTAACTTATAGGCAGAATATATCATGAGAAACGCTGGGCTGGAGGAAGCACAAGCTGGAATCAAGATTGCTGGGAGAAATATCAATCACCTCAGATATGCAGATGACATCATCCTTATGGCAGAAAGCGAAGAGCTAAACAGTCTCTTGATGAAAGTGAAAGAGGAGAGTAAAAATGTTGGCTTAAAACTCAATATTCAGAGACAAGGGAGGTTTTTCAAGGGGAGACTGGGAGATAGGGGCCTCCCCTCCCCCTTCTCCTCTTCCTGCGCCGGCCTCAACCCCTCCCCAGACCCCTCCCGACCGGCGCCCCACGCGGAAGACACCCCTCCCCCTCCCGCTTTCCCCTCCTCCCGACCTCAGACCTCAACCCTCCGTACTGGGACGTTGGGGAGGCGGCCGTGCCGGGCGGAGAGAACTCAGCAAGCTTTCTGAGCCCCAGGTTTTCAAAGGCAGAAGTATGAGAAAGTTGCGTGCTCCCCAGCTCAGGTGCAGAGCCTCTCCTCATGACTTGAGAATGATAAATAACGCTGGTCATCTCTAGCAAGGATATTGATTCACCTCATGTAAAGTATGCTCAGTTCCTTTCCAGTGGTTTTGCTGGAAACCATGTCTCACTATACAGATGAACCCAGATTTACCATAGAGCAGATAACATCTGCTCCAGCGCCTCCGGCGTACTGGAATGACTAAACATGAAATTCTCCATGCCTTGGAAACTCTGGACTGCCTTGATCAAGAGCATAGCGACAAGTTTGGAAGAAGGTCCAGCTATGGAGGAAGTTCGTATGGGAATAGTACCAACAATGTTCCAGCATCTTCCTCTACAGCTACAGCTTCCACGCAGACCCAGCATTCGGGCATGTCCCCGTCACCTGGCAATAGTTACGACACCTCCCCACAGCCTTGTACTACCAATCAGAACGGGAGGGAGAATAACGAGCGATTATCCACGTCCAATGGGAAGATGTCACCAACTCGCTACCATGCCGACAGCATGGGTCAGAGGTCATACGGTTTTGAAGCCTCAGAAGAGGACCTAGATGTAGATGATAAAGTGGAGGAATTAATGAGGAGGGACAGCAGTGTGATAAAAGAGGAAATCATAGCCTTTCTTGCCAATCGGAGGGTTTCCCAAGCAGTTGTTGCACAGGTAACAGGTATCAGCCAGAGCCGGGTCTCTCACTGGTTGTTGCAGCAGGGATCAGACCTGAGTGGACAGAAGAAAAGAGCATTTTACCGATGCTATCAACTTGAAAAGACAAACCCTGGGGCTACGCTAAGTATGAGACCAGCACCCATTCCAATAGAGGACCCAGAGTGGAGACAAACGCCTCCCCCAGTCTCAGCCACGTCTGGCACCTTCCGACTATGGCGAGGCAGTCGATTTACCTGGAGAAAGGAGTGTCTGGCTGTCATGGAAAGTTACTTCAATGAGAATCAATACCCAGATGAAGCAAAGAGAGAAGAAATTGCAAATGCTTGCAACGCAGTGATACAGAAGCCAGGCAAAAAACTGTCAGATCTGGAACGAGTTACCTCCCTGAAAGTGTATAATTGGTTCGCTAACAGGCGGAAGGAGATCAAGAGACGAGCCAGTATCGAAGCAGCAATCCTGGAGAGTCATGGGATGGATGTAGAGAGTCCGGCAGGCCACTCCAGCAGTGATGACGTGGACAGGAATGACTACTCGGAGCAGGATGACAGCTCTAGCCATAGTGACCACCAAGACCCCATCTCGTTAGCTGTGGAAATGGCAGCGGTCAACCACACTGTCTTGGCACTGGCCCGACAAGGAGCCAACGAAATCAAGACAGAGGCCCTGGATGACGACTGATGAGGGAGGGCTGAACGCGAGAAGTTAACTTAGTTTAGACGTAGCACCTTCGCAGACTTTCCCTCGGTCCTTAACATGCGTTCTTACAGTGTAACTTGCAGTTTCTTGTATGTCAGTTAGCCCTTAGGGTCTTGTTCTGTGAAGATGGCATGGTGCCCTCAGCCTTTGCATATGCTCTCTCAGTATTAATTCCCAGTAACTAGTAACCAACCAACCAACCAACCAACCAAACTTCCCTCTCCCAGCCCCCGAGGCTAGAAAATCTTGCTGCTCTGTCTTAGCATTCCAAGAAAGTGCTTCCAGGTATTTAGCTAGCCCTCAGTTCTCAAATAGTAGGCTCCGTGTAAAACCTTGGGTACCTTTAGATTCCTGTAACACTAGTCTCCACCCCTCTTCCTTCCCCAAGACTGGTAGGATGCAAGCTGAGGTAGTGTGGCCAGGATTGACAGACACCATTTGGGGAGTGTCCGAAGAGTAAAAGGAACACTAGAACCCCCACCTCCACGTGGGAATAATTGATTTCCAGCTGCAATAAGCCGTGCCTCATAATAGTCACACTGTGGCTAGATTATACTTCTTTGGGTGCTGTGCTAAGAATGTCAGTGGAAAAACTCGATCTCAGATTTCAGTTGATGTTAAGATGCCTGACACAGACATCCTTTCCTCTCACAAGCTGTGTGACTGAGTAGATAAAATACTGCCTCTGCCTTTGGGACCATGATTAAACAGAAAAATGACAAAAAAAAATAAAAAAATAAAAAACCCACAAAACCCAGCTTGAGAGCATTGGGAAAAACCATGAGCCGAATGTGTAATCATGGTGGATGTTATTAGAACCACTATACAGTACGTGGCACAGGTACGTGCCCACCTGGAAAGGTGCTGGAAGTCATCGTGGAAGCGGCTCTGCCTCCTGTCTGTGTCCCCTTTCCTTGCTACCAAAAAAGCAAAAAGGTGATTCGAGGATGAAACTAAGGCCAAAAGTGAGTGAACGAACTTCCAGTCCCTGTAGCCATTACGCTGAAGCCCCCTCAACGTGAGAGGTTGGTAGAGGACTCTGTGGTGGGATTATGCCTGCTGACTGTCACACGCGCAAGAGCTTTCCTAAGTAGGAGCAGAAAAAAGCAGGGGACGTTTGCCACTTCCATGGCGGGTCTGCGAGATGTGACTTGCTTTGGTGTTCTCTTTACTCTGTCCTTGTAGAGGTGTGAAAAGCTATATTGCTACAGGCAATTTATTTAATAATTGGAAGCCATATTGATAATGGATGTGGTAATATTTGTAAAGTTTAATCTACTTTAAACAGCAGTAACTAATGGAATTTTTTTCCTTGATCACATATGTAGCACTTTTGTTACTTTTTAAAGATATTTATATTTGATAAATCTTTTTTTCATTTTGAGAACTCAAAAAAAACCCAAAAAACTCAACATTCAGAAAACTAAGATCATGGCATCTGGTCCCATCACTTCATAGCAAATAGATGGGGAAACAGTGGAAACAATGACAGACTTTATTTTTGGGGGCTCCAAAATCACTGCAGATGGTGACTGCAGCCATGAAATTAAACAATGCTTGCTCCTTGGAAGAAAAATTATGACCAACCTAGACAGCATATTAAAAAGCAGAGACATTACTTTGCCAACAAAGGTCCATCTAGTTAAGGCTATGGTTTTTCCAGTAGTCATGTATGGATGTGAGAGTTGGACTATAAAGAAAGCTGAACACGGAAGAATTGATGCTTTTGAACTGTGGTGTTGGAGAAGACTCTTGAGAGTCCCTTGAACACATGGAGATTCAATCAGTCCATCCTAAAGGAAATCAGTCCTGAATATTCATTGGAAGGACTGATGCTGAAGCTGAAACTCAATACTTTGGCCACCTGATGTGAAGAACTGACTCATTTGAAAAGACCCTGATGCTGGGAAAGATTGAAAGCAGGAGGAGAAGAGATTGACAGAGGATGAGATGGTTGGATGGCATCACTGACTCAATGGACATGAGTTTGAGTAAACTTCAGGAGTTGGTGATGGACAGGGAGGCCTGGCGTGCTGCAGCTCATGGGGTCGCAAAGAGTCGGACATGACTGAGTGACTGAACTGAACTCAATATTGAGCACCTATTATGTACCAAACAGTTTAAGACACGGAGCTCACAATGGCAAATGGAATGACAAAGATTTCTGCCCTCATGGGGCTTATGCTTCCATGAAGGCAAATGGACCATAAATAAGATGAAGTAAAAATATGGAGGAGGTCACATGCTGAGGGGTGTTATGGAGAAAATTAAGGCGGCAAAAGGAAAATAGAAAATCCTAGTGGCTGAGGGACTGAATTCTAACAGAATGCTCAGGAAAAGCTCCAGTGAGGGCATGGCAGAGCAAGCTGGGCCCTGGTATAGGTCTTGTGGAGTTCAACTAGCTTTGAAACCCAGTCTTTTCCCCTTCTCTCCCGTGGAACCAGCTGGACTTGCTCCCAACCAGCTCACCTCTGGTGAGAGTGGTCAGGTGTCAGGGGTCAGATCATCCAACATCATTTGCAGGGACAATTTAGGTAGTTACTGAACCATTTTTCACATCAGTGGGGTCTAAGCACTGAATTTGAGGCTGCTTATGTGAACAAACCCATCAATTCTTTTAAAACACACAACTGAAAACCATCTACTCCCATCCATTTCAAACAGCATTAGTGCCTAAGCTGCTGTCTTCTAAGCAAGTCACATCAGCCAGCTTTACATCTTAGGCCCATAGGCATGATTTTGGATGTCTGATGACCAAAGAGCCTAACTACAAAGCAGAAGGAGATTATTCAAACTAAATCTCACCACGACACCTGGGACGGGGAACAATGAATGGGATTCATGTCAACATGGACATGACAGGTACCTAATACTTTCCTGAAAGCAGGTTTTGTTAAAAGTGGGAGAGAATAGGAGAGCCCTGAGTGTTTGAATATGAAACTGAGTGGAGAAAAGGGAGGATGCAAAATACACCTCCCTCTATTTCTAAACTTTATTCAAGATGTATATGTATAACTGAATCAACTATACTCTAATATAAGATAAAGATTTAAAAAAAAAAAACATAGCTTAGTCTGGCTGTTCATGTTCTCAACTCAAAAGGGGATCTTGCCTCATGTCAGGTTTTCTTATCTACCATGATTGACAATTATCTGCTTTTTCTCCAGATAAACTGTATGATGTTTTTACAATGTTGTTCAAAACTTCACTTACTCGTATATGTTTGTATTTATCCAGCAAATAATCATTGCATTGCAGTTAAGTCTATAGAGATGCACACATGAGGATCTTGTTCTGTAAATCACTGGCTTGCAAACATGGCTATGTATCAGAAAAGGCAATGCATGTAGTTAATGATTACTTGAATGTCATATTTATATAACTAAAATATATGAACACCTGTAAGTTAATAGTTTGGCAAGCATCTTTCCAGAAACATTGCTATTTTGCTTGCTTTCTCTCTTCACTTTTCTTACATTGATTTATTATAGAGATAGTTTTAAAATACGTTTCTGCTTGGCAAGGTAAATAGTTTCTCATTATAAATGCTAAATATATATGTAAGTTCATAATAATTAAACATTTTGAAGCCTTGAACAAAGCATGACTTTGTTCAGTTCTCAATATAACTAAGTGGTAGATATTTAGCTTTTAAATTGTTTTTGCTATGTTAAACAGTGTCATGTTTAGCATCTTAGTGTATACAATTTCCAGATGTGGAATTCTTAAAACCACCCTAAGTAAAGCTACACCCACCAACATTACACCAGCATTTTTTAACTGAATCTTTTTTTTTAATTAATTTTTATTGCAGTACAGTCATTTTTACAGTGTTGGTAGCTAGTTTCTGCTATTCAGCAAAGTGAATCGGTTATATGTATACATATATCCCCTCTTTTTTGGATTTTCCTTCCCATCTAGGCCATCACAGAGCATTGGGTCAAATTCACTGTGCTATAACATAGGTTCTCATTAGCTGTCTATATTATAACAGTGATAACAGTGATGTACACACACTTAACTAAAACACATGTGTGTGTGTTAATTGCTCAGTCATGTCCGAATCTTTGTGACCCCATGGACGGTAGCCTGCCAGGCTCCTCTGTCCAGGGGGTTCTCCAGGCAAAAACGCTGGAGTGGGTTGCCATGCCCGTCTCCAGCCTATATTATACATAGCATCAATAGTGTGTACATGTCAATCCCAATCTCCCAGTCTTCCCACCCTCTTCTTCCCCCTTTGATATCCATTAATTTGTTCTCTAGTGTGTGTTCCTATTTCTGCTTTGTAAATAAGTTCCTCTGTATCATTTTTCTAGATTCCACATATAAGCAGCATTATACAATATTTGTTTTTCTTTTTCTGACTTCACTTGATATAACAGTCTCTAGGTCTAATGGATAGATTATTTTTAATTTTCTATCTGGCCTCATGGTATGATCAGAATTTCAGATAAAGCTTAGAAAAATGTGTAACTTTTGGAAACTTGGCAGTTTTCTCCAGTTTAGTGTTTTTCAAAATTTATGGATCTCATGGGAAAGTTGTTTATCTCTGGTTTCTGGGATTTGCTAGAACTTTGTAGAAATCATCTGACAGGCAGCTTTTGGAGAGAGAGAGAAAAAAATCCTAAATTTATATTTTAACCTTTTTACTGAAGTCTCTGGATACCAGGTTTCCCAGCTGCTGAGCCAGATACATTTTAATGTGCACACGGGGTGTGGCCCATGGTGACGGTCCTGCCCATCAGGGCCTCACAGGAGTGACCAGAGGAATAGCGCTGTCCCTTGGGCACCAGCGATCTTGTGAAAATGACTAGTCCTGTCCCCCTGTGTATCTTCAGGAGGTGCAGTCTCTGACACAGAGTAGCTGCTCAATGGTTCTTTGTGGAATGAGAGAAGTGTATGTCCAGGGAACTTAAAAATGTCCAAGGAAAAGGTGAGAGGATTGATACTGGGTTATCTGTTAAGGCAGGCTCTTTTCCCTT